AGTTTTCTCATGTTAAGCTCCCTGAAACCACCCTCATAACTCCGTTCAGAGGAACGCTCGGCAAATTTGGAAAGCAGATTTGAACCCAACATCCAAAAACACGTCTAGCAGTGTAGGTCTCATTTCAAGTGGTCACTTCGACTTGGGATCCTTCCCTGGTTAGAAACGTTTTAGAACGAGGAGAAAATGGTTAGGGGCAGCTGAATAAAGAGTGGTAAATAAGCGCTATGATCAACCGCTAATAATTCTGTCAAAATAAAATATATCGAGGGGATGCCCTCGAAGCGATCCAAGCTTCCAAATTTAGAGAGATCTAGAGAAAACTATCTCGTTCTGTTACATCGAGTATTCCGCTGAATGACTCCATCGCAGATGAGCGGTCGTGGATATACAATGCACGCGTCAGCGTGAATGACCCAACTGGCCCAACTGGTTAAACATTAGGAGAAGATTGCATGAATTATCATCACAGTCAGCACGGTTCCGCTCAAGTGATTCAATGCCTTCTTTTTGGAAGATTATGTTTACGTCTAGTCGCGCATTTTCCATGAAAACTGTTTTTCGAGTTGTTTAGATAAGAACTTTTTGATGGATAATATTTTCACTTATTTTCCTAAGCAAACGAGTTTTTTTACGATTAGATTCATTCTTATTACTCCCATATCATTGAGCACGAAGCAACTGTGATTGCGCGGCTGTGGTAGTAGGATCCAGTTCAAGTTCTGTGTCATTTTTGAATAGGTAGCGAAACTGAAAACTTCCAAAAACCGAACAACGGTCCTGCCATAACTTTTGGTTTCAGATTTACCTACTTGGAAAGCTTTACGACGCACTTCTGCAGCTCCTATGTTTTTCTCTCCTGTAGATGACAAATATATCGATGGTGGAATAATCGCAAATAATCCTTGCCTTGATCTACTTGCTGAAGTGCAACTATACAACGGAATTAACACATATCTGGTTGGTAGTCATTCAAATTTTTGTTTGATTCGTTGATTAATGTTAATGAGAATTCAGTTTTGATGAGAAAAATCTGCTGCGAAACTTGTAGCAACCACAATACATAAAGGATCTCGCGATTGCTTAGGGTTTGCTGGCGTTCCCTTCTAGGCTCTCACCCTATCTGACGTTAGACGTTACACAGAAGATCTTTTTAAGGAAGAATGACGCAACAAACGGGAAGCTCACTTCTGGTATCCGTCGAACCCTACTATCTCTTCGAATAGAGTTGCGATATCTGATCTTAGCCTTTTTCTTAGAATCTTTAAGTGTTCTTAGAATTAAGAGAGAAATCAGTCTTTCTGCATTTTCTGGCTCCTCATTCTTTCACAGACTACTCTTTTCCTTTTTTGATGAGAGAATTGCAGCTTTTGACCTCATCTCCGTCCACCATATTCCGAGTCCCACCTACCATAGAATTTTGACCTCTTTCATGTGGTCCACCTCGTCCAGAACTACTCGAAGCGTAACGACTTTTCAATCCCAAATGCGCCCATCTTTGTGCACATCCAGCTTACAGTCGATATTGACCTAATTTCTTGTGCTGGTCTTTACCAATTTATTCCGAATTATAGTATGCTTTTTGAGAGTTTTGATTGAATTTTGAGATTTGAGGTTGATAGTTTTTCGATCTTTAGAACAGTTGAAGTTTTGCGTTTATGAATCATAGTCCTTATCAGTGCTCCGCAGAGTGCAACCACACTTCTAGTTCCTCTGTGTCTGCTTTTTAATCGTCGACCTGGAAGTATCCGAATAACTCTGTTCAGAAGAAGGCGGTCTCAAGATCAGAATCCAAAAATACGTTTTAGCGATATTCGTTCGTTTCGAATAGCTTTTTTCGACCCCGTTTTACGACCCGTATTTCTTCGGCTCAGCTCGCATTGATACCCACCTTTCCTACAATAAACATTTGAGCGCCACTGCGTTGCTACCCTCTACCCAATTTTTTCCGGACCTCAAAGCGTCTTTGGAGAAAGTTGTCAATCCTCGTCCATCCTTATGCCCATCGTCTCCCACCATCACTCAATTTCTTTCCATCCTCGAATACCTTTGAAGAGTTGGTAAATTTTGTATTAGCACCTTCAGTAGACAAAGCTCCATTTAGGTCGGCCCTGCTTTGCGTATAGATCTGAAACCTATCATTCTATACGAATTCTTCCTGAGTTCAGGGCTGCCTTTTATAGTTTACGGAAGCGATATCTTCTTCAGAAACAAACTAGTAGTACTCCATTTTGATGTAGGCTTCAGAATCAAACAAAACAAGGGAGAGCGCTGATCCTGCTCAAACCATGATCTAAGCAGGGTGGATGTGTTGCTGTCGTTTTTTTTGACGATATCGACGAGCTGCTTGTTTGAGAATAATATATAGATGAAACAAAAAGAGCAGATGGAGCGACAGTTGAAGTTATAGAGGAGGTTTCGTGTGGGCGAAGATTCAGTTTTCACTTGATTGGCGGTTAGGCGAACAGGATGACGACTATGGAGAAACAAGGAGGCCGGAAAATTGAGTAATGAGGCAAAATTGCGACGGTAGATCACGATTTTCAGGATGGAGAGGGTCTCTCCACTCCTCCACAGTGCCTAGAAGAGGCTTCAGTTCTTATAAATATTCCTTATCCGGCTTCAAATAATCCCTTCTCTTCCTTTGATCGTGATGTGTTTTCGTCCCTCCGTGATATTTATTCACAAGCAATGCTCTGCTTTGTTTTCATTGTATGGAGGGTGTTTTTTAGCGCTCTATCTATGATTGTACCTGTTCGTGCCTTCCCATCGCTGCTTGGGTCTTACTTTATACTCAAAGAAAAAATCTAGTAGTACGTGCTTTGCGGTCTTTCTAAAACGCAACCTTCATATAGCACATCTTTGAACGCCATAAGAAAATGTTCCACTCTTCCATTTGAGTTAAGATGTATGCCGATGCAAGTTTTTTAGTGCCTCACCGAGGTGTACTGGGGACCATTAGCGGAAATCAAAATATAAGGTTTCCTAAAATCAAATGAATTGGGAGGGGAGTTACGAGATCATGGCGACGAAAAGCGCATTCGGATGACATTTAGGTCATGTGCAATTGCGTCAAGAACTGTTTAGGTCTGCTACTAGAGAGGTTTCTCACAACTGCTTGTCCTGAATGATCAGCTGCTTGAATTTTCATCAGTTGTGCTTCATTGTTGATAAAACTGCCTCTGAAGGGCGCCAGAACACGTCGCGCTTGGGTGTGATATTCAAAGCAGACATTTTGGCCCCCCAGTGCATCCTAATGGGCGCTCGCTAACGAAAACCATTTGACATCCTTATCTGCTAAAAAAAAGTTTGGTAAGAAACCTTAGAAGCTATTTTCATCGTAAGCTCTGCGCGTTTAAGCCGGATCCAATTGTAATCTATCGGTCTCGGACCCTACCAATGTTTTATCATTGGATACAAACTATTGAACGATGGGAAAAATTTTATCCAATTATTATGTCACTCTCGAATGCAGAATTTCATACATACCTTTTAGCGCCATCCAGAGGACAACGTCGAGATTGGTTGCGTTGTCTCACTTGGGACAGGTCAAATACCTCTGTCACCACTTGATCCGTTGCATGTCGAGCTATTTAATCCCATTTCTAGCGCCTATGCTTTCAAAAACCTGAGCCTTATTCTGGTGGATCAGGTCAGTTGTGTTCCCTCACTTGTGCATGTGTGTATGAATTCCTTTTCGAGCTCATCTCAAACCTTAATAAGTTTTTCAGGTAACTGCAACAGAAGGTGCTCCTGTTGATCGTGCGCGGTCGTGGTGTAATTCGATTGGGGTGCCATTCTTCCGTCTTAGCGCACCCCTTCACAAGGTAAAGATAATCGACACTTCTGAGTGAAATTCTATGGATTTTTCATGAACTTTTTTTTCACCTTCGTATGATGGCAGTCGACTTGGAACTTTTGGATTATAAATATAAGCAACAACAACAACAACAATGGTTACAAAGAATTACATTCGTCAACAGAGCGATAGGCAAATGATTATAGCTTCTTACGAACTCTTGCTACTCTTTGCATTACCAGTCAAAGATTTCTTCTCTCAAATCAAATAATTTTTCGTTGTTCGATTTGGCGATGTCCTTAACTTACTCAATTTCAATCAGTGGTGTGTCAACGACGATAAATCACCTGCATCACCTGTCATCCCGTTGACCATCGATTTCCTCGAGGAGGAGCCAGTAACGTCTCCATTCGTACTTGTCACGAGCTAGAGTGATCCGGTGAATCGTCGTCCCTTCAGGGACACGAGGCTCAGCATTCCTTTCGTACAGAGCTCTCGTGAAGAAGTCTGGCCATCGCGTTAACGGCCGTCCTGGAGTTGGCGTGACGTCCTGAGGGATCCAGTCAGTAATCACCCTGGTCCAACGGTCATCACTATATTGCATAACGTGTCCGGCCCGCCTGATCTTCGATTGTAAGACGGCGTAATCAACGACGTCCCTGGTTTTCGTTTGATGTCAAAGCTCGGAACTCAGAATTCCCTTCTGCACCTGCGTGTATAAGGAAATTCCGAGCATCGTTCTTTCCAAAGCGTGTTGAGTAACGCTGACAGCATGCTCATCCTGCTTTCGTAGAGTCCAAGTTTCCGAGGCGTACGTCAAAGCAAGAAGTGTTCTTGGTCTTCTTCACTCGATATTGCTCCCCACGCGGCGTGTTTCCTTCTGCTCAGCTCACGTTCATCATGTTGACTTCCCGAAATAGATACACGTAGCTAGAGCATTCAGAGATATTTATTTCGTTCAGCGTGAAAGGAGCGTTAGAAACCATCCCGTTTCTCATGAACTTCGTTTTCATTGAGTTCAGTCTCGAGCCGATGTTTCCACAAGCACTGTCAAACTCGGCCGGCATTAGTTCCGCCTGCTAGATGTTCGGTGTTATAAGCACAATGTCGTCTGCAAAGCGGAGGTGAGCTGAGGGCCGTCGACCTTAACTGCTAAGTCTTCCCTTCCAAATGACGCATTATGTTCTCAAGAGTGGCACAGAAAAGTTTAGGCGAAATGGTACCCTACCGGACACCTCTCTTCACGTCGATAATGACTTCCTTGTAGAATGACGAAATCCTGGCCATAAAATTGTTGTGGAGCTCATGAAGCCTATATATTGAGTAGGAACACTATCTGGTTGCCCAGAGCTTCGATTACTGCTTTTGTCTCGTCGGTGTCATAGGCTTTCTTCAATTCGATGAACATAAGACGTAACGGCATTTTGTACTCTCGCGATATATCAATGAAACTTGTAAGGGTGTGGATATGATCGACTGTACTGAATCCTCTCCGAGTCCCAGCTTGCTCGCATGGCTGTCGTTCATCTAATATTTTGCCAATCCTGTTAATGATGACTCGTGTGAACAGTTTATAAATTGCAGAGATCAGTCGGATGAGTCGTGTGAAGAGTTTATAAATTGCAGAGATCAGTCGGGTGACTCGTGTGAAAAGTTTATAAATTGTAGAGATCAGTCGGATGACTCGTGTGAAAAGTTTATAAATTGTAGAGATCAGTCGGATGACCCGTGTGAAGAGTTTATAAATTGCAGAGAGGTGATTTGGGCGATGCTTGCCAATGTTGTTTGGATCTCCGTTCTTATACAGCAACACGGTCTTGCTAGTTTCCCAAGAAGCGGGCACTTTGCATTCCGACAGGTACCGCGTGAAAAGCCGGGCCAGGGTTTTGGCAATGACCGGCTCTCTAGATGTCCTGCTTTGATCTTGTCGGGACCGGATGCCGTACCATTTCTCATCGACGTAATGACATGTCGAATTTCGGAAGGGAGAACTGAAGGGACGAGACGACGTACCCGTCTTGCCTCAAATGGTAGGTAGGCAGGTAGACGTGGCTGTCGAGGTGATCAGAGTAGATGTCGTAGATGACCTTCTTCTGTCACTCCTGTTCAGGATGGCGCGTGTGAAAAGACTGTAGACTACAGACAGCAGGCAGGTTGGGCGATAGTTGCCAATATCGTCAGGATCTCCCTTCTTGTACAGCAAACAGTCTTGCTAGTTTTTCATGACTTAGGTACTTTGCATTCCGACAGGTACCGCGTAAAAGGCGTAGCCAGAGATCTGAGTATCGTTGGGAGACTCTTTAGGTGTTCTAGTTTGATCCTGTTGGGACCAGGCACCGTACCATTTATCATCGACGTGATGGCGTGTCGAATTTTGGGAAGGAGAAGCGAGGGAGCGATATATTCGTCTTACTTAAGATGGCGGTAGAGTCGTAGATGGCGAGATAGACGTGGCTCTCGAAGAGATCCGAGTCAAAGTCGTAGATGACCTTCTCCATTGCCCTTCGAGATGCAGTAACTGTTCCGTCAGGACGACGAAGAGGAGTCATCGAGGTCTTGTGATTGGCGAAGCTACGTCGGGCTTTGCGAATGCTTTTTCCGGCCTCGGCAGCCTCGTCCATAACTGCTGCTCTTCTCTCTTTCTAATCCTCCTTTATCACTTCTTTGCAAAGCTTCGCAAGTCCGGACGTTTGTTAATAATTGCCTAATGCTCGATTCCACGCTGTCGTATTAGCTCAAGATTCTTCGAAGAGAGTCATCTTTTGGCTACTTGTAGACCCTCTTCTTTCCTAGCATTAGCGTGAAGACGTTCGACGAGCTGGTTATATTCTTCATCGATGTTGTCGATAACGGAATCTTCCCTTTCACTCGCAAGGGAAGCGAAGAGATGTCAGTTGACAATAGTTTTGGGGCTTAGTTTCTTAAACTTCATAGCTCTCTCTCCACGCACTGAGAAGCAGAATGTAGCGCGGAGGAGACGATGATCCGATCCCGTGTAGAACTCTGGAACAACAGGCAAAATCTCCGATTCAAGATGATGTGGTCTAATTCATTATAGGACCGGCCAACAGGTGACTCCCATGTCCATCGCAATGTCCTGAAAGGGCTTCCGGAACTGCGAGTTACCATGGACGGTGTGGGTCGACATGATGAAGTCGAACAGCCTTTCACAATGCTAAACCCATTCCAATCCGTGAGTCCCGATATGGTGCTCTTTAGCCATTTCCTGAGGCCAATCTTGGAGGTGAAATCACCGATGATGACCCTGAAGAAAATATGGTCTTCTCCGTAGAGTCTCCAAATCCATACAAAACGCTTCCAGCTCCTCTTCGAAGCTTGATGTTGGAACATAGGCAACGAAGATTGCTATAGCTGAGGTTGAGTCACATCTTAATCGCTAACGTCTGATTCGGGTTGTCAAGCTTTCGTACGAATCGATGTTAGTATCCAAGTGCGTGTTGACGAGGACACCTACACCGCCTACGCCTCTGATGTTGCATGCTCCAAGGAACAGTTCTTCTTTAACCTCAAATACAACGTGCAGCGGGCGATGCCTTCTTGTCCCGGTCATTCCGATTACGTCGTACTTGGTCTTTCTAGCTTGCATCACCAGTTCTTCTATACACGCTTCCGATGCAAGCATCCGTGCGTCGAAAGTATTAGGTTGATCTTCCCTAAATGATTTTATGTAGAGTAATTCGTTTTTTGTGATTTTAATACTTTACTCATTTGTTACTGATATCAGCGCTCAATTTTTTTCGTACGACATGTCATAAGTTATTATATCGCACTCCAGTATTTTTAGCTTTATAAAAATCCTCACTAGGATCGCGAATTTTAGAGAATTTCCAAATTACACTGTGCTTTTAATTCCGCTTCTTTTGAATGTTTTTTTTTTGCAGGACATCGGTCTTGGGACGAAGAATGATCATGATATCGCGAACATGATGTGGGATTGCATAGAGTACACGCACCGGCATCGGCAGTACATTACAAAACTGTGTACGCTGTTGAAGCATATTGGTAAAGTACCGGATCGTCCTGTTGTCTTCGCGAAAGTTCGTGAAATGCAGAGTACCGCTTGACATTTACTGTGATTGTTTCTGGCGTACCTCTATGCTTTCTGATGTTTCGCGGAACGTTTGATCATACTAGTTTTTGTGAGAAGATTGTGATCGTATAAACACTGATAGTTGGGGTGGACTTATAGTATAGAGACAGACTAATAATACTTTTGTTGCCGTTTCCATCGCTTCACATGCCTATCTTGATGAGTCCTCATTTTTATTTATTTAATTATTTCAATTGCACTCTTGATGCGCCCGAACAAATCAGAAGAATATTATTCGAACATGAGGTGACGAAAGAAATGAACAGTGCCGACGATACTTGAAAACAAGAAATCATGCAATAGTAACAGTTCCTTAGTAGCGTATGCAAGGAGGCAACATTCCCTTAACTTAGCGGCCATAAGCTGAGAACAACGAACCGTAGCGTGTAGAGCCAGAATCTTTACTGAGTTGACCTGAGCCATCATTTACCCAGGAATATAAACCTGAAAAGTTGAGAATGCTGCATTTGTGCATCGGTCTCTTATCTATACAGCTATACTGTATACTGTAGTACAGCATGGTGCAAAGTCAGTCTAGGCAACGCAACCGACAGTAACCGTTCCCGGGCGGGCCAAATTAGGTGTCTCTTTGATCTAAATACGAACCTAGGGCGAAGACATAGATCCAAGTATTTGGCCTGCACTGAATTGTGGAAGTCACGATAGTCGTGCATAGGTAGACCTGGGTGACTGAAATAGATTGCAAAGGACAAGTAGATATGAGATGATTCTTCAAGGTTGCCTCGAAAAATTTGTAAGACAAAAAGAAAAAAAATAGTCCAGATACGACTCGAAGATCAGGTCGCCTGAGGTAAGGGAAACGCTAAACTTCAGGGTAAACATAACAAGAGAAGAACGGTGTTGTAAGTATAAATTCAAGAAAACACAAAGTAAACACATACCCTGAGGAAAAAAGCACGTCGGCTGCCCTCTGCAGACAATAATGCTACCCTGAGGAAAAAAGCACGTCGGCTGCCCTCTGCAGACAATAATGCGAGGTACGCAGTGGCTTTCTTTAAGAAAACGAACCATAGTATGAAATGGATGAGGGAGTCGAAGATACAATTAGACAAAACTTTCCTTATCTAGGACTTCGAATAGATCTGATTTTTTGACCTACGTGTGGAGACTCGGTTTGCGTTACAAGTGCTGGTTAGCTTCTCTAAGCGCGACGCTTCACTTCAGCTGTTGATTTTACATTCAATTTTACATTTGAAGAAACTTCGGGCCGAATGGCGACTGGTTCAAGTTCAAAGGTCAATGTGTTGTATTGAAACTGGGGCGGGGTCGCACTAAGGCGAGCGAAGCTGAGTTGGAATTCGAAATCCACGAGCTTATTATAAAAAAGTTTTTGGAGTACGCGAGAATTTGGTTGAGGAAATTGCTTAGGTAATTGCTAATTGTACATGAAAATGCGTAACGTCAGGCCGAGTTTAGGGTCGAAGTTTGAAAACTCTTGTCAAAAAAGTCTGTGGACCGCGGAATGGCGAACTTCATTTTGGTGAGTGTGTACAATTTTGTTTCTTTTCGACATAAAACGTACAGTCCTCAGTTCAGTCAGAGCAGGTGTTATAGGAATCACGCTTCAGTGATATTATATCGGCTTATTAGTATCTATAGACTACTAGTCGATTTGTCACGTTATTGGCCTAGTAGAAATGAAACGACGCTGCAGCAGCAACAAATGCTATCATTCGATTGATACCGATCAGTATATATTTATATACAAGTATTGCAAACTATCTTTTCTTCATTACTCTTTCTTTAAGGCGGAAGAGAAAGGAATTATGCCTCGTGTCACCAGGGCATTCCGACTTTTCATTCCGACAACAAGGAAGAGAAACCAGCATTGGACAATCCAACTAATTTCCATCAAATATCAGCGAACACCTTGAGCTGAACTGTAGTCACACAGTCAATGAATATAACTGGGCAAATCTCCCAGACAAATCCGAAGTTCAAACAGTGAAGTAACACTATGGTTCATAGCGTCGCATTCCATTAGAAAACGTCATCGCATTGTATTTCACTTGACAACTTATCTGGACTGCTATTTAACCATTCGTCGCCTTAATATAACTTAATTTCCAGTTCGAATAAATGCTCCCAATCTAGTATAACCCTGGTCACTACAGAATCCTGAAGCCGTGTCCTTCT